CAAACAAATGTTTCTTGACCATTATCTCTGTTATCTGCTTCTGGAGTTCCCATTACACTTATGTGAATCTTTTTACTATCCTCTACTGGATATTGAACTCAGAGCTTCTGGCTTACTAGGCAGATGCTAGAGTACTTGATCCACGCCCCCAGCAATTTTTGCTTTAGATTTTTTTTAATATGGTCTAACACTTTTTACCCTGGCCATCTTGAACCATGCATGATCTTCCCACTTATGCCTGATGAGTAGGTGGGATTATAAATATGAGCCACCATGCCCAACCACTTTCCCCTATCTTTTAACAACTTTAATATTTTTTAAGTATTTTTTTTTGTCTTTAGGTGCTACAGTTTAGATAACTTCTCCACTTCTGTCACGTAACAGTCTAATTCTTCTTTCATCTTTGTTTAGGTCTCTAGTTTAATATGTTGGTTGAAATTAATTACTTAGTTAATTTATGTGGTACTGGAGATTGAGCCCAGGGCCTTGTACATACTAGACAACCAATCTACCACTTGAGCCACATCACCAGTTGTTTTGTGTATATTTTGTTTTTGAGATAAGGTCTCATTAACTTTGCCAGGGCTTGGCTAGAACTTGTGATCTTCCTCCCTCCCAAGGAGCTGATATTTTAGGCATGAGCCACTGCTCCTGATTTCTTGCTTATTTTTATACTCCCACGTTATTTGCTCTAATAGTAAGCCTTCTCTTTCATTTAGTAAAATAATTTTGAATTCTTTTTAGAAGATGAACTTTACTACTTTTGATTTGTCAACTTAAAAATAGTTTATTTCTTCATGCTATCTATTAAAGGTGACATAGAGGCCTACAGAAAATTATTAACTTCTTCCTCTGAAATTGCCCATTAACCTAGCACAGTACAATCACTTTTACAAGGATAGAACACATATAAAAAGCTTTTTCTTTATCTTTTTTTTTTATGTGTGATACTGGGGCTTGAATTCAAGACCTACACCTTTAACCACTCCAGCAGCTCATTTTTGTGATGGGTTTTTTTTTGAGATAGGGTCTCACAAACTATTTGCCTAGGCTGGCTTCAAACTGCAATCCTCCTGATCTCTACCTCCTGAGTAGCTAGGATTACAGGTGTGAGCCACCAGCATCCCATACGGGGGGGGGCGGGGCACAAGCATTTTCTATGCTTCTTTTCACAAAGTAATGCCAGCACAGGTCACAATTCTCACAATTGTAGAGTTAATGATCCTTTCATAATTCTGTTACTATCTACTTTATTCAATTTTGTCACTTTTCTGAGTCTATCCATCAATGCAAAGATCTATGCACTGTCATGGATTCTGACCATGTTTGGAGAATCCCTGAAATTGCCCCCATTCTTGATTTCTCTGTGCAATGCCAAATTTATGCTTGAACATAAAGATCAAGTCAGGCCCAGGACAGGGACCTATTGAGACTATAAGAATTCATCTAGGCCATGAAGGCTGACTCCTAAAAAAAGCATTTCTGTATAAATTGGCATACCATGCTTGAAAAGAAGTGTTTCTTAGTCTTGGATTAGTGCCCAAGAAACTATGAAGAAGATACTTTCTCCTACTTTGTGGGACGGAAATGATGAAGTTAGACAACTCAACTAGAACTTCTTGGTTTTTAAACAAATTACATTTTGCAATTTTGTATTCTTTATCTGAATTCACTGTCTGAAATCTTTCCAGTTTTATTTTCACTCATTTTGCAACTCTCACTCATGGTGACTTCTTTCTTTGTATATTTGTGATTTTTAAATTCTAAAATAATATTTTCTGGAACTTGACCTGTGGGTAATACTTTGAGGACTAGATTCTAGTTATATTGCTGCAGAAAGGATTTGCATTTGTTTCTCCCAGTCATCAAGGGATTCTACCACCGCGACCCAGTTGGACTACAACCTGCTGTAGTTCACCAAGTAATAAGGTCAAAACAGGCAAGTTTCCTTAATATCATTTTCTGTAAATTATCTTTACTTCTTGTTTACCCTTATGGTTTCCCCACTTTATGTGCAGCCTCTATTAGATTCCTCATCTCAAATAGACTCTAGGACTTGTTCTCTACATCCCACAAAGCAATCAAAATAGAAGCTTGGGTCTCCCAGGTTCAGTTGAAATTATCATGTGAAAGCAGCTTTGGATGTTGTGGTCTTCAAGAGTTCTTGTTACCACATTTTCTGCCTCTGGAGATTCCTTACCTTTATGCAACCCTAATAATGCATTATTGATTGATTTTGGAATATTTGCTGAAGTATTTCAGTTGTTTTACCAGAAGGGTTATTCATTTTATCATCTACACCATACAACTAGAAACAGAAGTCTCTCATTTTCTAAGTTATTTTCTTGCAAGCCTCGTGAGCTCCTGGTCCTGACCTAACTGGGGGCAACTACAGATTGAGAAAGGACAAAAGATAGACAGACATGCATAAAGCTGGGATCAGATGTGCTGGGCGCTCGGATGGAGACTCATTACTTCTTTTCTCTATTAACTCTTCTTTTACTTTGCTTCTTTTCTCTATTCTTTAAAACCTTACTTCTTTTCTATTCTTTAAAGCCTTTCTTCTTTTCTATTCTCTAAAGTTTCTTTACTTAGATTCACACTGTTTTCTTTAGCATAACTTTTTTAAAGCCAAGTATAAAGTTCTTGGTGCAGAAAGCTGCTCTGGTGGAGACACACAACAGCCAGCAGCAGCAGCACCTTCATCAGCAGCCAGCCAATCCATCAATCCATCCATCCCCATCCTTCTTCAGCTAGTCTTTTATATACAGTGGTAAACAAGGAGGTGGAGCAACAGTTCTCTGGAGGGGCATGACATTGTAACAAGAGAAACCTGTGTTCCTACTTCTCTGAATGTATAAACAACTTAGGAAAAGCAATTGTGCTGCATTTTGCCTTTGCCCCCTTCTGTAGCTGGGGCTGTGCCAAACTCAGTCTGCTGATTTGACGTAACTGTGCTTATGTCTAGTTCTCATAGGCTTCTCATAATCCACTCCCCAAAAATCACCAATGATTTTGTATGATCAAATTCCAGGGTAATTATCAGTTTCCATCTCACTTTTACTTTCTAGCAGATTTTGACAGAGCTAATCCTCCCTTTTTCCCAAACAGGATCTTCATGTGGCCTTCAAGTCCCTTATTTTCTTCTACTGCACTGTTAATTAGTTAATAAATAAATTAATTAAAAATATCTATGTCCAAGGTGTATTTGGCACATACCTTTGATCCCAGTATTCAGGAGCTGAGGTAGGAGGATTGAAAATTCCAGACCAGCCTGAGCTACATGTCAAGACTCCCCCTATTTATTTCTGTCTCCTTATCTATCTATCTATCTATCTCTATACTGATGACTTCCAACTTTATTTTTTAAGTCTCATCTTTCAGGAACTCCAGACTTAGATGTAACTGCCTAATATATTTCCCTTAGGTGTCTAGTGTCTTTTAGGTGTCAAAACCTAAAATGTTTGAGGCATATTCCTCTCCTTTTCCCCACAAAGTAACTACCAGCTTTTCCTAGTTCTTCCACATATCCATGGCATCACCATTTACCTCATTGCCAAGAGTTACTGATTTTTCTCATTCTTTTACATTTCATTCAATTCATCGATGCTCCCTGTTGGCTCCATACACAAAGTTATGCTGAATCTTCCCATTCCTCATGTCCACCATCCAGGTAAAAGGCAACATGCTCTGTCACCTGAACACCCCAATCATCCCCACCTCATGGCTTCCTTTCTTATCTCTCTACCACCAAAGCCATCATATCTGATTAAAATCTGCTCTTCAGCTACAGATCTTTTTGAAAATATGAATCACATCATGCATTCTGCAACTCAAATTCATACACTTACAGTAAAATCTGAACTCCTTACCAGGGCCAATAAGGTCCTCTATTACCTGGCCCTTCCTTATTCCTCTGACTCTTCTGCCTACAAGTTTCCTTCTCTTTTCCTTAGACTTCTGCAAGCCTGATTTTCACTCTTTTCCTCAAGCAAAGCAGATTTAATCCAGGCCTCACACTTTTGCTCACACCACTCCCTCCCCATGGAGTTCTCATCTTCCCATCTCTTTCTGTAGCTAACTTTTTGTAATTTACTTTTCTACTTAACATCACCACCATAGAAAGGCCTCTGCTGGCCACCCCAATAACAAATGTCTATCTTTATTCTCTATCCCTTTAGCCTGACTTTTCTCATTATCACTCATTACTATGAGAAATGATAAGATTTATTTTGCTGATTTCTTACTGTTTACTTTTCTCACAGGAGTGTAAGCTTCAAAAGGGCAGAGTCTTTGTTTATCTTGTCTGTCAGTCCATGCTCAGGACCTGCAAGCCCTCTGGGTCTCATAGTAGATGACTATTTGTTCAATTAAAGCATGAATCTCATTTAACTCTCACTAAAGTCACTTAGATGGAAATGATTCTTCTACTCTTCCAGATGAGGAAACTGAGGCTCAGCGATGTTAAGTGGCCTGTCAATGATCACATGTCCAAGAAGTATCACAATCAAACTCAAATGTGTGTTGTCTTACTTTTAACTTGTCACTTTAAAATCATTTCAGACTTAACAAAAAAATTTCTAAAAATAATACAAAGAGTTCCTGTTTACTCTTAACTTTCCCAAATGGTAATTTTCTACTTGTAGTATAATGATCAAACACTGGAAGTTATTATTGATGGGGAACTAGTAACTAATCTACATACCTCATTCTCATTTCATCTGTTGTCCCATTAATGTCATTTTCTGGTCCCGGATCCTACTCAGGGTCACACAGTACATTTAGATGTCATGGCTCATGAAGAGAGAGGTCAGTCATTGTGTCTTACAACCTTCCCATTGGTACAGAAAGCCATATTGACATCAGGCCATGGCCTATGTCTAGTGTTGGGCACACAGTAAGTGTTCCATGATAACTGTACTTGTTGGGGGAAATAAGGACATATTCCTTTGAAGGAGTGGAAGGAGACTGACTCCCATTGTTCTGTTTGTGTTGATTAGCCTGAATGACCTTGAAGTATTCATAAAAATTAGTGAGAATGGTTTGCTCAAGAAAGTTGAAAAAGGAGATGTCCAAGGATTGGTTGAGATCATGGGACATCTTCTGGCTCTTAAAGAACGTCAGAGCAGCACTGATGAGATGTTTGAACCCCTAAAGCAAACTATTGAATTGCTGAAGACCTATGAACAAGAACTGCCAGAATCTGTGTTTAAACAACTAGAGGTCAGTGCAGTTATGTATTCCTTACAAAAGAAACAGAAGAAAGCTTTAGGCTTTCAGAGTGGTGTGAGATGGGTTGATGTAATGAAAAACAGGACTTGGTGATGATTCAAGACCCATGTTTTACCAGCAAAACCCCTTGTTCCTTCCTATTATTGCTTATACTCTCTCTACAACAAAATTAGAGATAAGGGCAAAATAGTTTCTGCTGGGTATTGAGGGGGGGAGCGGGAGGGGGTGGAGTGGGTGGTAAGGGAGGGGGTGGGGCAGGGGGGAGAAATAAACCAAGCCTTGTATGCACATATGAATAATAAAAGAAAAATGAAAAAAAAAAAAAACAAATGTTAAAATTTGAAGTGTGAAAGGGCTTTAATAGAAGTGTGTACTGCATAACCAAACACCCCAGAACCTAGCAGATTGAATAATAAATATTTTTATCTCAAAAAAAAAAAGACCCATGTTTTAGGATTATAATGGGTGATACATGGGTAATGTCTAGCACATTCTGGGAACTCAGTAAATACAGAAGAATAGAACGCTGGGGATAGGTACAAGAAATAACACAGATGAAGTTATTTTTTCCTAGAATTAGAGATGAGCCAGCTTTTGGATTTGAGGGAAATAAGCAGGCATGTGTGATGTTAAGATTATCTAAAAGGAAATGTGGGGCATCAAAGAAAATCACCAAGCACTCCTGAAGAATATAGAAATGGGCAAGAGTTAATGGGTTGGATGCTAGTGTTGAGACAGAAGTGTGTGATAGTGGAGACAGCAGGTGACCAGAGAGGTAAGTTGAAGAAGAGGAGGATGCCTTATAGAGAATGGCCAGATGATGCCAGCACATTCTAGTGTGATCTTACAGCATAGATGAAAGCAGCTGGGTGATGTCCAGTCTTGGCATATGAGAGAAAAGGGAGCACTGTGTTACCACATTGAGGTCTCCTTTGCAGGAGCTGCCAGAGAAATGGAATAACATAAAAAAGATGGCCACTACTGTGAGACAGCAGTTAGCCCCATTGCAGGCGAATGAAGTGCCCCTCCTCCGGCAGAGGTGTGTCGCCTTCAACATGGAACAGCAGCAATTCTGGGAGCGGTTCCACAAAGAAGCCCCCTTCAGGTATAAACAAGTAGCCTCTGCTGCCTCCTTTCCTTTAAACATTGTGATTTTTGGACCATTTTGGTCTTTCTGTTGAGTTGTGCACCACATTCGTTCAGCAGACAAAATCCAATTCCAAGTCTTCCCTTCCATATAGGTCCTTTGGTTAGAACATGCTGCAAATGTGGACAGAGTCCTATCATGACCTGTGTGAGATGACTGAAGATGTACAAATACCTTCTTTCCTTTAAAAAAAATCTAGAAGCTTTTTACATTACCAAGTTTGTAAGAGGATTGTATGTGATCAAATAACTAGGATTTTACTTTAAAAAATCCTAATTTTTACTAAAAAAGACTTATGTTCTTTTGTTTAAAGTGGTTGACAACATTTTAAAATAATTTAGGGGGGCATTTTGGTAGCTTAAAGGAGATTGGGGTGAAGGTTTACTGTAGGGAGGGTTCTCTGTGCTTGACAATCCTCAAACACCTCTCTGTTGGTTGTTACAGGTTTTTACATAAATAAAGAAACTGCAGGCGGGGCAACACTCCTTGCATGGGTCCATAGGGCACACCCTGGGCATTCCCCTGGTGGAGAATCTGTTTCCTTGCACTGCTCAGCCTCCAAGGAGTCTTCTATCCAGGAGGACAAGCTAGTTCTTATTGTTAGGTACCCTTGTCCCCCTCCAGCACCCTGCCTTATATTCTGTTTCTCATGAGTTTCTTGCTGTGACTTCTCTACAAGGAGACAGATTTGGAAATCTCCAAAGGGAAAATGCCCTGTGTAAGGAGTGAGCAGCTTTTATATTCTCGAAGTTTACTTGCTGACAGAAATACTGTAAATCAACAAGCCAAACCAAAAAGTGCAACTTTACTGCGATGAAATATAACATGATTAAATACATGGACTCTAGATTCAGGCTGCCTGGGTCTCACTTCAGCTCCACTACTTATACCTGTATCATGGCACATTACTTAATACCCTTGCCTTTCAGTTCCTAGTCTGTAAAATGCAAATAACAAACAGCATTCACCTCATAGGTTGTTATTAGGATTAAAGAAGTAGCTACTGAGAACGCTCAGCATTGTGCCTGGCACGACAGCAACCAGCTATGCTGGTGAACAGGGAATGTTCTTATTGTAGCACTTAAAGTCTCATGTCTAGGCACCCCCTCTGTTCCAGGCTCCCTGAGGATGTCTGTCTTCCAACCTGGCACACAGTAAGGGCCTATTCTTTTTTTACACTTATTGTTAATTGATAGATAATAATTGTGCATCCTCATGAGGTATAGTGTGATGTTTTGGTACATTTATTCTTTGTGTAATGATCAACTCAGGATATTGAGGTTATCCATCATTACAAGCATTTATCATTCCTTTGTGATAAGAATATTCAAAACCTTCTCTCCTAGCTGCTTTGAATTATATCATACAATATCGTTGCCTAAAATCACCCTCCATGTTAGTAGGATACCACAACATATTCCTTCTATCTAGTTGTGACTTCGAACTGCTGACCAATCTCTCCCCAACCCCTTCCCTTCTTCTTCCTCAATGAGAGCCTATTCTTAACTATCATTCAGCAGCTGCCAGCTCCCAAGAATTATCCTTGGAACTATGAAGAACATGACAAGTATGTTAAGAGACAGGGAAGGACAGGTGTATAAACAACACATAGGATATAAATATATGAAGCAGGGTGCCGCCATTTTGACTGCACAGCAGAATCATCTGTGGAAGAGCTCCCAACTTCCAGCCTGTCCTGAAGAGCAATTAAATTAGACTCTCTGGGAGAGGGGTAATAGTCATGCATGAGTATTTTGTGAAGCTCCCCAGGTGATTCCATGTACAGCCAAGTTTAAGATACACTGCTCTAAAGGACAGAAACTACTTTCTTCTTAAGCAATCATGCCAAGGTGTCCAGATGACTGTGTCATAGAATTGCCTTAGAACCATGGCCTTGTTCTCCAAGCATTTATGGAACTCCCTTGAGGATAATTCTTTCAGAGTTTGAGGACTTTCCTTTTGACTGTCCTTTCAGCATGAATTGAATATTCAAAATTGAACAGGGACCATACAAAGTAAAAGATAATGAGGGCAGTGGGTTCTCAAGCTGCTAGGTGTTAACCACAGCCACATCAATGGCAGGAACCATAAAAATAATATCTTAATATTAGCTGTCTCCTTAAAACAATTAAAAAGAATTGTGCAGATGCTTGAAGAAAGATCTTCCTAGAGAGATTTCTCAACTGCTTGACTGGAACCATCACTGGTGGGCTTTTAGGAGCCTGGTATCCTTCTTTCATTTTTATGTCATATGTGTATTGATTAGCCATTATAATTTTTATTTTGTTTTATTTTTTCTAATAGCTGCATTTTTTTTCTTTCTTTCTTAGCTCTTATATCTGCTGGCTGTGAGGACACTGATACTTTTAGCTGGGTTTTCCAAATTCACATCTGTTAATTTGACATGCAGATGAATCTTTGGAAGAGAATGCTTTGAAAAGAACTGCTCACAGCAGTGTGGGAAACCAAACGTTACTGCAATTTTGATGTATTTCTCTTCTTGTCAAGAAAACCATCAGGGCTAGAACAGAATCATGGATTTGTTGCTAAAGGGAATCTTAGAGGATGTCAACTCACATGTTTGTTTTGTTGCTTACTTTGGTGTATGTGAGTGTTTAGAATTTGTAGCTGCTGAGTGCATGCAAGATCCTTCACTTTTAGGTCATTTATGAATTTCTAAATTGCCAAGTCTGATGAATTTCTTTGTGAATGCAAGTTTCTATTCCTGATTAGATGTCACAGTCTAGACTCAGCTTCTAACGCTCTTGTGTTTGAGAAGGAAAAGAAAATGAGTGTCCAATTAGACTCTTGCTGCCTGACAGGCACTGTGTGAAGTCAGGTTGCTTGGGTTCAGGTTCTCTCTTCACATTCAAGTCAAGTTCTTCTTCTTTTAGCTCTTAACTCTAAGCTGACCTCAGCTTATTCCTAGCTGAGCTCTCACACTTCAGAATAACTGGCTAAACTATCATACCCAGTTTCAAGGACCTTCTACAACTCCTTAAATTGGTGAATAATTCTCCTCTTGAATGGAAGGAATGCTCCATGCTTCTGACAGCATTCCCTTGTTCAGCCTTTGACCTTGAGCATAGTCTTCCTGACCTCAAGGAATGGTGCCATGTCAAGTGCTCTTCTTACCCACACCATGGCCATGGTAATCCAGGGATATCAGTCAACACAGTCCAACCCAATGAGCTCCAACTCAGCGGAGAACATTAGTATTTTCAGGTGGCAGCCAGACTCCATTAACAGCTGGGGAAGCCTTTGTAAAGATACCCTCCATTGGGAGCTGTCCTCCATGGCAACTGGAGAAAACAAAGCTTTCCAAATGACCCAATACATCAGACATGAGGAAAGAAGGCTTTGGTCCTGGTTGTACAGTGTCGATTAAATCTTCAAAAGCTGGAGAAAAGGGCAGCGTTAGTGACTAAATCTCCCAGGTACATATGAATATCCTAAGCCTTATAATAGGTTCAAATTCACCCTGATCTTACAATTAATCTGACTTATTCACATGACTTAGGCTTCCATAGAGTGGTTAAAGCTGTGATCTCAACAGCAGAGTTAACAAAAATGATGTGGGTGCTAGGATTTTGATATAATACACATCCTTTGACTTCAAGGACTTAGAGCCTCAAGGACAATTTCAATAATGGATAATAAGACACATATACTGGGGCAGGTCACACATCCTAAGAGAAGTTGGTACTTGAGCCAATGGCAAGTAAGAGCCATTGGGATAAAATAAAAGGAGCATCAAGTGAGGATATTCTGGGCAAAGTAAACAGCACATATAAAAAAAGCACAGAGGCTAAAATGTAGGAACCAGCTAGAGAATTTCAGGTGTGTGTAGCTGAGATGCAGGAAGTAGGAAATGAGAATGGAGATGTCCAAGTGGCCCAGTTTGACTCGAGTCAACCACTAAGCATGAAAATGACATTCACACTCCTCACAGTGGGGTTTCATCCTGATGCCCATTGTAAATGGAAAATACTGTGCTGAAAATGCATTCAGTAAACAAAACCTGCCGAATACCATAGCTCAGTAACACAGTGTGATGTAGAGTACCGACTGTTTCCCCTCAGGATGGCATACATGGTTTACTGGGACTTGCTACCTAGCATCATAAAAGAGTATCAGACTGCATGCATATCACTAGCCTGAGAGGAAATGAAAATTCACATTTCAAAATACAAGTTCTACTTAATATGTATCACTTTTGCACTATTATAAGGTCAGACACTCAAAAGTTAAACTATCATAAATTGAGGACCCATCTGTAATATAAATCCTACGCTCATGATTACAGACAACAGAATGGAGCAAGACAGACTCAGGGCTTAATTGGGGGAGAGGTTATAACAGCCCTGTTTTAACCCTGTTTTAAAGTTGTAAGGCCTGAACTAAAGAAGTGGCAGAGATGAAGAGACATGGACTTGAGAGATGTTTAGGAGAGGGAACCAGCAGGACTTGTTGAAGATAGGAGATGAGACAGAAGGATGATCCCCCATCTTCTAGTGTGGATAAATTGGTAGAAGTTCCTATTGTCCTATTGGCCACTGAGAGGCACAGGCACAGAGTGTGAAGGAGCAGCAAGAGCATATTTAGGACTGGGCACACTGAGTTTTATATGCCTGTGGAGTATCATGCAGAGGCGTGCTATCCTTCATTCTCTATACTGATGTGATAGCGAGGTTGACATTTACGAAGACTAGTTTCTCAAGAATCAATAAAATGACTTACCTTCTCTGCCTCTCTAGGCTCATGTTTGGGTGAAACCTGAATCAATCATTTTTCCACAATCATATGCACATGAGCTCCGTGTTCCATTTCTCTTAATTATGGTTTTATTCACGCAGACTTCCCAGACATCTCTCTTTCAGATTAAAATACCCTTTACATTATTACTTCAATTTCAAAGACTTAGTACACTGTTTTCCCTCCTCTGACTTTCTTGTTCTTAAACTGTATCATCCCCCCTGGATTTGGAGAACTGCTCCAGGCTTATTAGGCACATGAATCAGGTTTATGAATATCCTGACAATTTTCCCTAAAGTTTTTTCTGTTTTGTTGGTTTTTTTTTAGCCCAGACTGGTCTTGAACTTTCCATCCTCTTGCCTCAGCCTTTCAAATGCTAGGATTACAGGCATGAGCCATCTCACCCAGCTTGTCCAAAAGTTTTAAAATGATATGAGAACTACCTGTACTTGTGTCTAGAGGTTCCCTGCACAATTTAGAGCAAGTTAGCTTTCATATATGTTCAGCTAGAGGAAATGACTGTCCATAAATCTTAACAACAAAGAGTATGCCACTGGTAGATATGTTTGGAATGAGTTTGACAAATTCTCACCTCCTACAAATCTTTGAAAAACCAACATTAATTTAAGAATGTAATATGTGATGAGGAAATAATGGTGAGTAACTTCTTTATTAACTTCTGTGTATACTTCAAATACTCTAATAGCTCATATCTTATCTAATAACTTATTCCTGAATCATACTCCATTAAGAAATTAAATAGGATGTGATCTTGTACTAGCACCAAGGGGCTGATTTCACTTTCTAAGTTCACTGTAGTCAAGAGAAAAAGTAGACTCCACACACACCAATGACTGGTCTCTGAAAATGAAGAACAAAAAGAATCACTCACACTTGGACATCCTTCTTGCTGCGCCACTTGCCACAAAGATGTTCCATCTTTTTCATCCAGTTCTTTTTCTATTGATCATCTTCTACTGATCCTCACCTACATAGATGGAACATGCACTTTCCAGCTCTGAAAACTCCAAGCTGGTATTCTGTTCTGAAATACTTGGAGCTGAGGAATAGCCCTGACATGCAAGTGGTGTTTAGTTTCACTCTCTTAAGATGTAGTTCTACAACCATAGCTCATAAGCCAAAAATGATTTAGATGGAACAAGCAGAAATCAACCACAACAAGCATCAATGTTAATCTGACACTAATTTAATGGTATGCATAACTGTTATTGTGTTGCATGTTAATTAGGTGTAAGTGGTAAACAGTTCAGGTAAATGACTTTAATTAGGATTACTTTCTTTCAATCAAGTCAAATATTTCTAAAGACAACTGAAAGAAGGGACAGCTCAAGAAAAGGTGTTTATATGTCACATTTTTCCCTACTTCCCTCCCCTCCATATCCTACCAACAGACACTCAAATAGATTCATGTGTGTACAGAGAGAAATACACACCTGAAGATAGGAGGAAAAGGCCAATTCTCCAGTCACTCATTTCCTTTCAACTTTTCCCACACGATGAGCCTGTGGTGCTCTGTTCAGGTTTTAGAACATACTATTCTCCCTTAAGTCATGGTATGCCCAATATCTAACTCTGCATAAACACAGAAACAAGAAAACCTGAGCTTGGGGAAGATAAAGGGAGATTAGGGAAGGAAAAGGAGAGGCTCTTGAAACTTGGGTCATAAAGTGCCTGTCACCACAACATGGGTGCGTAAGTTTGGCAAAGTGGAAAACAAGAGGAATAGTTTTGCTACCTTCTCAAATTTGTAAAAGGGTCCAAGCATGATATTCCTCTTGTATTCCTCTTCCTCCATTGGTTCCCACCCAAACCATTCTCGTGTCTTTTCCTCTCAGGATCAGTGACTGGTAAAAGTCACTGCTGTTTCCTGGAATACTAAGTATTTTAAGATTTCCACTGGAGCTACCCTAGCAATTCTAATTCTCAATTACCCTAGCAATTGAGTCCTGTGTGCTGCATTTACCAAGGGAAAACATCATGTTTTGTAGGTTTGACAGCATCAACCCTCATCAAATGTTGGACGCCAGGCACATGGAGATCCAGCAGATGGAATCCGCCATGGCCTCCATCTCTGAGTCCGCCAGCTTGTTTGAGGTCAATGTTCCTGACTACAAGCAGCTGAGGCAGTGCAGAAAGGAGGCCTGCCAGCTGAAGGAGCTCTGGGACACCATTGGAATGGTGACCTCCAGCATCCATGCCTGGGAGACTACCACTTGGAGGGATATCAATGTGGAAACCATGGACATCGAGTGCAAACAGTTTGCCCGGCACATCCGGAACCTTGACAAGGAGGTCAGGGCCTGGGATGCATTCACAGGCCTGGAAAGCACTGTGATGAACACCCTGACCTCCCTACGGGCAGTGGCTGAGCTGCAGAACCCAGCCATCCGGGACAGGCACTGGAAGCAGCTGATGCAGGTGACAGGCGTGAGCTTCACCATGGACCAGGACACCACCCTGGCCCACCTCTTGCAGCTCCAGCTGCACCACTTTGAGGACCAGGTCCAGGGCATTGTAGACAAAGCTGTAAAAGAGATAGGCATGGAGAAGACCCTAAAGGAGCTGCAGACCACGTGGGCCAGTATGGAATTCCAGTATGAGCCCCACCCGAGGACCAATGTCCTCCTGCTGCGGTCTGATGAGGACCTCATTGAGGTTCTAGAGGACAATCAAGTCCAGCTTCAGAACCTGATGATGTCCAAGTATGTTTCTTTCTTCCTGGAGGAAGTGTCAAGCTGGCAGAAGAAGCTGTCCACTGCAGATGCAGTCATCTCTATCTGGTTTGAGGTGCAGCGCACCTGGTCCCACCTGGAAAGTATATTCATCGGATCTGAAGACATACGGGCTCAGCTACCCCAGGTACTTGCTGAGGGAATCCTGTGCTGTTTTCTGATCCAGGTCGAGGGAAGATCACCTTGTCTCACAGTGTCAGAATTCCTTCCTTTTCAGCCTCCCTGCTTTGGCTTCACTTCAGAGTACCTCCCCCAAAAACTGACCTTACCTGCCACCAAAATTCTGGCAGAGGAAAAGAGAGGAGGAAAAATACACACCAATCAGTTTGTCTTAAGATAGATAGGAAAAAGAAAGAAGTGGTTTTCTTTTCTTTCTTTCTTTCTTTCTTTCTTTCTTTCTTTTTCTTCCTTCCTTCCTTCCTTCCTTCCTTCCTTCCTTCCTTCCTTCCTTCCTTCCTTCCTTCCTTCCTTCCTCTCTCTCTCCACCCCTCTCTCTCTCCTTTCTTTTTTTTTGAGACAGGGCCTCACTATGTGTACTCCAAGCTGGCCTTGAACTCATATCTCCTGCCTCAGTCTCCCAAGTGCTGGGTTACAAGCATGAACCACCATGCCCAGCTTCATCTTTTTGTTTAAGTACTAATAAGAAAGGAGAAAAAAAATAATAGCTACTGGATGAGCTCCTAATAGGCTGCTTCACACATCATTAAAATGCAGGTACTGAAGGAAAGTGAGTCTTGTTTCCAGGCAAATTCAAGTCCATCTCATCAGCTACCATTCTGCAAGCCTCTGGCCTACACTAACGTGCTGAGAGCCAGTTCTCTGCTAAATTCCAAACGGTACATTTCCTCAAAATATGTGTTCCCATTATTACCTTTCCTGTGTTTGCATCACTTATTAGCCCTAATTAAAGTGCTGTTAACTCACCCTTCTCTCAATCGACTCAAATTCTTCTTAATTCTTTTTCATACTTCTGTATCCCTTCAGTACAGAGGGTTCTTTGTTTACAAATTAGTTTGATTTCGAAATGTCACCATTTGTTTAGAAATTAAAGCACACTTCTGCTCATCCCACAAAAGCACATTCCGCATAGTCATGTATACTAAAGTCGCACATGAAAAGTAGCAGAGAGCAATTCTGTTGCAGCAGTTGTAATTAAGCCAAAGTGACTAAGCCAGATTTTATTTATCTCAAATGCCAGTGATTGAACAAGAACAGACTTAATTAGGAGCAGAAAAGGGCACAGGTGGAGACTTTGGTAGACTTGAGGGAGACATTGGAGAACTTTTTATTAAAAATCTTAAAGAATTTAGTATCCAGTGTTCCGGGTCTCTGTACAGAACATGTAAATACAACAATATAACAGAAATGATTTCAAAACACAGCAAAATTAGTCAGAGTCTTACACTCTAACTAGTAACTATTTTCATTCATTATGAGTATTTCCCAACTTTTGTTCACATATATACATATTTTACATAATTCTCTCAGTGTAATTACAATTGTTGTTCAGTTATTTTCATTTGTCAGGTAATTTTCAACACCTCCATAACCTCAATGTCGCCTCAACTTTAATCAGAGCAAAACACCTCACTGAAGAATCATAATCTGCTTTTTTTTAAATCTTAGGAGACAGGTGTGGATTACAGAAAGGCAGGGACCACAGGCCTGGGCTTCAGTCCTAATTGCCCTGCCCGCAGTTGTGGGACCTTCGGCAGGTTACTTAACTGCTCTGTGCCTGGGTTTCCTCCTATGTAAATTGGGACACAATTTACTACCTGCTTCTGAGAGTTCATTAAAACAAGTTGCATAGCACATACCATATGACTGCTGTTTTGTAATAATACCACATGCTCTGACCAGGTACCAAATGTTGAGCTAAAATGTCTGTCAGTTATTCCAATGACATGTTTCAGGAGGCATGATGATATTCATAGTAGGCCAATTGCTGAAGAAAAACTCACTTTGGAAATATATATATTTTTACAAGCATAGGAAGCATTTGATCCACTGTCTCCATGACTTCGGAATCGTGTGTCTAATGCCCGGGGTGGGGGTGAGACCTTTCCAAGGGGTCCTGAAGGTCAAAACCATTCCAGTGACCACAGTGACAGCTATTTGGCTTGTTTACTCTCATTCTTTCATAAACACACAATGGTGTTGTCCAGGGGCCGCCTGACACAGTATATCACAATAAACTGAGTGCAGTGGCAGAGCTGAGACCTGCTGATGTCTACCAGGTCAGAAAGGAAAGCAATCTGAAGGGAAAAGAAAAGTGAAAGGATACCACATTCGGTGATTCTTTTGTTTGGGAACATATCATTATTTTAGATAAAAACATGCTAGTCATGCTAACACTGTGGGTTTGTTGCTGTTACTTTCTAAATGACTTAAATATTTTAACTTTTTCTTTAAAAACACATTTTATCCCTTGCCTAGCACGCCTAATATTTTAGGTTTGCTCCCCAGAACCCTAGACTCACAAAGAAAAAAGAGGAAAAAAACACTTCAGCCTCTAGCGTGCGCACGCACACACACAAAAATGATATTCCTATAAAAACAAAAAGCTCTTTAGACTTCTCGACAATCGTTTTAAAGAGTTTCTAAGATCAAAGTGCCTGAAAACTGCTGTTTAAGGCCCGCAGCCCGTCCTTCTCGGAGTCTTGTGTCTCACAACCCAATAGCAGCTTTCTGCCTGTAAGTGGCTATGTGAATGGAGCTGGTGGGAACCGAGGACAATGGTCATTGATTTTTTCCCCCACATTTCTTATTTGCAGGATTCTAAAAGATTCGAAGGCATCGACGCCGACTTTAAGGAGCTAGCTGATGATATTCAGAAAACTCCAAATGTAGTGGAAGCCACCAACAAACCAGGTCTCTATGAAAAGCTGGAAGACATTCAGAGCAGGTGTGGTCCGCTTGCTGCCCCTGCTGTCCTGGAGAATGCAATGTTTCTTTCTCCCCTGGGTCTCTGAGACCTTTGCTTTATTGAATTGCCCAAGTGAATGAGGGCATGTGTGTGGCCTTTGCTTTGCCTGTATGTTTGGGTAGTGTGGGGTATAATTAGGGGTGTTGATGCTGATGTCAATGGGTCAATGCATATGATTGCAAAATCCCTAAGTGTTTCTTGAGCTAACTTCTGCACCTGTCCTAAAATTGCATATACAGTGGTCCCTCAGTGTCCACTGAGAACTGGCTATACAGAAGTCTGCAGACCCTCAAGTCCCTTTCATAAAATGTCATAGTGTTTGCATGTAACCTGTGCACATCCCCCCACCAGGTACTATAAAATAAGCTCTAGATTACTTTGAATACTTAACACAGAGTAAATGCTGCATAAATAGTTGCAGTGTATTGTTTACAATTATTTAGGGAATAATGACAAGAAAAAATCTGCACATGTGTTCACTACAGATACAATTCTTAAAATATTTTCAGTCCCCTGATGCAGAACACTCACAGATCCCAAGGGCTGCCTGTGTTTGCATTTGCATTTAGGTAATATGTGTAGACCCATGGATCTAGGCTACTTAACAAGGAGGCCCTCTGTTCTGTGCCCTCAGACTGTGCCTATGTGAGAGAGCACTGGCAGAGCATCTAGATACCAAAAGGCTTGCCTTCCCTCGGTTTTACTTTCTCTCCTCTTCTGATCTGCTGGACATCCTTTCCAATGGCACAGTTCCGCAACAGGTAAGCTGGGGCAGCACCTCCAAAAAGGAGGTGTTCCAGAAGGAGTGAGGAGCTTCCAGCAGCAGCTTCCTCGCTCTGGCAATGAGAACACCTGCCCTTCAGACTAACCTCCGCCTTTCCTTCACTGCCATAATTATTGCTGCTCAGGATGTCACCTGCCAGTCAGAGGCCAGTTCCTAAAGTGGGACTGGAGAATCTTTGAGGAAGGCAAAAGTGAATAAGGGAAACCCTTTACAGAGCATGCCTTTGACCTGTCTCTGAAGAGACATCCAATAAAAAGTGGTTAACAGTGGCACATATAAAAAAAAGAAAGAATGAAATTCTATCTTTTGCAGTAACCTGTGTGGAACTGGAAGACACTATGTCAAGTGAAGTAAGTCCAGCACAGAAAGACAAATACTGCCTGCTCTCACTTACATGTGGAAGCTCAAGCTGATCTGATGGAGACAGAGAACAAAATAGTGGTTACCAGAGCAGGGGAAGGTGAGGGGCAGGGAAGGATTGGTAATGGTTACAGGGATGCAGTGAGGTAGGAGGAATAGCTTCTAATAGTCTATAGCACAGTAGGTTAACTATGGTTGAAAATAGTTATTGTATATTTCAGAAAAAGCTAGCACAAAGAAACAATAAGTGTTCAAAGTGATAGATGTACCAGTTACCCTAACCTACTCATTACACATTGTATACACGTATTGTTACATTGTACCCATACATGTGTACAATTGTTATGTGCCAATAAAATATATATTAAGAAAAATAAAAGCTGCACATGGTAGGGCACATCTGTGATAACAGCTATGGAGAAGGCATAGGTAGGAAGATCATGGTCTAAGGAAGGCCCTAGGTGAAAGTGAGACCCTATCTAAAAAAGAATTTTAAAAAGAAAAAGGGGCTGGAGGCATGACTGAGTGCCTGCCCAGTAAGCTCAAGGCTGTGATTTCAAACACCAGTACAGAAAGAGGGAAGGGAAGGTGGGGAAGATGATGAAGGAAGGAAGGATGACAAAGGAAAGAAGGGATGGAGGAGGGAAGGAAGGAAAAAGGATAGCTATAATTTCTATGGGGATTCAAGAGTGGAAGTTTTGTTTATTGGATGCTAAGGTGGTCTAGAGGGAAAGCGTCTACAATAAGTCCAAAATTTGGGGTTCTAGCCTTTTATTTTAGCCACTTATTAGCATTATAGTCTTGGGTATATAGTTTTTTCCCTAGTGCTGGGGATTGAACCCAGATAGTGCACACTAGGCAAGTGAGGTACCACTGAACTAAATTCCCAACCCTTGTTTTCTTTCATACAGACAGTCTCACTATGTAGTTCAGACTTGCAATTCTCCTGCCTCAGCTCCTGAGTGCTGGGATTACAGGTGCACACCACTATGGCTGGTAGAATATTACTTTTTTACAGCAAATTTTCCTCATCTATAAAGTAGGAGAAGCCTGCTATGTTGTAAGGTTTCTTGAGTCTTAAAGTAACTAACTGAATCTGCTGATGTTTGGAGATATAGATAGTGGTTCTCAAACTTGAGGGAGCAGTGTAGTCACCTGTATGGTCTTTTATAAGTACTGATTCCCAAATCTTCTGATTCAGAAAGTCTGGATGGGGCTGGAGAATTTGCATTTCTAAGAATTTCCCAAGTGATACTACTACACTGTGGAGCACACATTGAGAACCACTGCTCTCAGCCATATAATCTGTGTCTTAAAATGACTGGCAGGAGGAAGAGATGGTGTTTATACCGTATGCTCCCTCAGCTCTCCTCCTTTCTCATTCTTCCACTTTTCTTTAGGAAGAGGATACGTAACCGAAACACAATTCAGAAGTTACTTCATAAGTTCATTTTCCCTCTCTTTGTGGTTTTGTCATTCATATATGAGTTCATTTATTTCTTTTTGCTTTCAGTTTTAGGGTGTTTTCATCCTTATTTTATTATTTTGAATATGTAGAATATTGATTTAATTCCATGAGTCCAACCATGGAAAAAGATATGTAAACTCTGAGAATGTCCCTCCTATCTGTTCCTTCCCCATTGTTACTATCTCCCCTCTATCCCCTGCAAGTAGATGATTTTATTACTTTCTGGTTTATCTTTCCTATGTTTATCTTTATAAAAATAAGCAGATGTACATTTACATTCATTTATATACATCACCTTATCTCTCTCCTTTGTTACACAAAAGGTAGCATAAAATCTCTCTCCTCTCTCTCTCTCTCTCTCCCCCCCCCTTCCCATCTCTCTCTCCCTGCTCTCTTTCTGTTTTGGGTCTGAACTCAGGGCCTGCAAGGCAAGTGCTCTACTTCTTAAGCCATGCCTCTAGCCCTCTTTTCCTTTTGAGACAGGATCTCCCTATGCAACCTAGGCTGCCCTTGAACTTGCAATCCTCCTCCCTCAGCTTCCCCAGTGCTGAGATTATAGGTGTATACCACCATGCCAGCTTTGTAGTTTGCTTTTCTTAAACTGAGTTATATAACCTGAAAATCATTTCTATCAATTCAAAGATATATCTCTCTCCTTTTCTTTCTTTCACATTTGCATCATATATCATGTTATGTTACACCATAGTTTGACAATGGGTCAATTACGTTTTGCAATGAGAAATGATGTGGCATTGGATGACCTTGGACTTTGTACTATTGGAGGTCTATCTTCCAGGTATATTCCTAGGAGTGAGAGGGCTGGCTCAAAGTGTGAATGCATATATAGTCTTGTTAAATATTACCACATTTTGTACCCTTTTACATCACCAGGAGCAATGGATAAGAGCTTCTCCAACAAGACCAAAAGATGGTACCCAGGCATGTTTTTGATTTGTTGATCAGAGCCAAATACTAAAGAGAGATTTATCCTCTCATAATTTGTGGTCCTTTTGCTTTTCCCTATAGTTTGAAATATTTTCAAAGTAGCCTAGACATTGTTAAGTTGAAATATTTACCAAATCAACATTATGTTTTGCATATTTTCACTAATTCCATGTATAAAATGAGATCACTGCCAGCCTTTTTATATCTTTTATACATAAAATAGTCATTCTTAAATATTTATTTTGATTTATTTTTCATTTGGTTTTAATAAATCTTTGAGTAGTCCCTCTTTATGTCTTAAGGAATAAAGCATGGTGGAGTAACTCCTAATTCCTCCTATATCTGTTACTCTATGTAGTTTTACATGTGAGTGAGTGAATGGTTAGGGCTAGAAGTCAAAGTTCATAGCAACTATCCCTATAGACTTTTCTCTGTTGTTCCTTGTTAACAGAGATATCATCTAAGGCTTGTCTGCTTTTGTAAAACCTTTCCAGATAGCCTAATTTCTTTCTTTCTGTGACTCCATAGAAACCAAATTTAAATTTGTTAAAAGCTTGTATTTGTTTAGGTACTTGCTTTATTTTGTTAAAATTTTCCCAACACATGGTAAGGTTTTCTCCTAACTGAAAACCATAACTTCTCTTATCTTGAAAATTTTCTTCCAGTATATTTTAAAACAAAATTTCTATTCTATTGTCCTGGCTATTTTTTTCCTTTAGGTTCATCATATTTCTATAACCTGAATTTCTATTGTCTTTGTTTTATTTACCTTGCCTTTTCTTCAGCCATATTTTTATTTCTTAGTCCTCTTCTTTGTCATTCTTCAAAAGTTTCCCAAAGCTTGTCCACCATGTTTAATCTTTTCTGTCAATCCATCCCTTTGGTATTATTAATACTGTTTTAAACTACACTGTGTCATTGACAGTTTGTTTACTCAGTGTTTCTACCAACTCATCTTTCACCTATTTTATAGTTTGTTTCTTTCATTTAATTGAAAGCAAAACACTATGATATTTGTTTCTCTTATTAAATATTTCTTAAAATGTGTGTGTTTTTCCTTTATTTCTTGAGTCCTGTTTTCTAACTCTTTTCAGTTTCAGGATATTTTCATGTCCCATATTGTTTGTTTACTTTTAAAAATTCTTTACTTGTTCTTGGAAAAATAAAGATCTATCCTATCAAGGTGCTTGGCCCCACTCAGTATGGAAGTGTCTCTTTGAGTACCCTCACAGTTCACCCAAATACTCTTCAATTTTTCCTCTCATCTCATAGGCTAGAGAGTTGAATGTAAGTTTAGCCTTACACCTAAGGGTTCCATGATCCAAGAGCCCTGGGTGTCTCTTCAAGAAGCTTTGCTATAGGGCAGCTTTCTGCTTATTGTTTTCCTTCAATCTGCCATCTTCTTCACCTCAGGACCACGGTGTGGCTTTGTCCAGCATCCTTCCCAGAACCAGCACCATAGTGCCATTACTGTAAAGGCCTTCTGCATTGTGATATGCTGTGCCTGGGAACAGCAGCCTGGTGTGGCCAGGCTTTCTGCTTGGCATGAGTATGCTTGCTTTGTACCCTCCTGATGTTTGTCTGCTGCATAAAGAGGTTCCAGCAGTGGAGTGACTTCTTCCATAGCCCATCCTCACCATTGCTCTTGACCTCCTAGATTTGGGGGTGTTATCATTTTTCTGCTAGACTATCTATCCATCACTCATCTCCTGGTTCACATTAGTGTTTTCTTAGGTACAATCATTTTTTTTTGTAAGTGGGTCCTATCTACAGAAAATCTAATAGAAATTAATCAGGCCATTGTGATTCCTGTAACTGGTACACTGTCCCAACCAGTTTTGTATTTTGTTGACAATTTCTATCCTGTTCACTTCATTTCCATTTTCACAACATCATGATTCTCACAAACTTCCTTCTAAATGCTCAGGGTTGTCACATGTCAGGCCCTAAGCAACTCTAATAAGCACCTTCCTGGACATGCTTTCCAATTCTTCAGCTCGGTTTCACTTTGTAGGTTCAACGCCACCTTTCCAAACTCTTTGACAATATGGCCAAGATGCTGTTCCAGCTAGATGCCAGCAAGAACCCAACCAAGACAAGTCTTGGCATGTACAGCAAAGAAGAAGAATATGTGGCTTTTAGTGAGCCCTGTGACTGCAATGGGCAGGTAAAATGACAGTTTCTCTCTCTCTCTCTCTCTCTCTCTTTCTCTCTCCCCATTCAAATATGGCCAGCTTCCCTTCATTTGAACTGACATTGGAGCAGACTCTAGTGCCCTGCTGTCCTCTCTCTGGGAAGGACACATGTCAACACTCATATCTCTTCCTTAACCAAAGACCTGTGCTGAGAGGAATAAGATACACAGAAACAACTGCTTGAGTCAACCAGAAAAAGATTTTAAAATGATCAGCTGCACCAGGAGACATTACACGGCAATCCCCGGAGCACCCCACAGGGAAATCTCAAACACTGACACCTTCCCCAGGAGAAAATATCCTTTGAAATCAACCACTTTCCTGCGAGGTCCCTTCTCTATACAAATGCACCCCAGAGTCACTTCCTCTCACAGCTCTTCCCCTCAGAAAGCCAACTACACCCCTCTCCAGGAAATACTACTGTACCAACAAATCTCCCATGTCTAATTCAAGACACAAATTGAGTACTATTCTCTCCTTCAACTTTCTTCTCTTTCTTCGTCACCACCAATGTGTAGGTCTTCTTTGCTCATTATCCTAAATGATCCAGCAAAGCTTAATCTCTGGGGGTTATAGTCTAGTGCAGAATAACACCTGGAAAAATATACCTTTTCCAGAGTTCCACCTGGATAATTGCTTTATCTTGGAAAGCAATTCTAATCCCAGAAAAGAATCTGAAGTTCTCAGTTAGAAGGGGGTGATTGGTAGTCCTGGGGTTTACTTCAGACTTTTGTAGACCCAGAAGACTCTTAGCTGGAAATACAATCCCAGTTTACACCTCCATGTTCAGTGCAAACAAGTCCATGAGAATCTACTTGACCACATCTAGCTCATTCCAGATTTGGGCTCCTTTGTATAAATTCTGGGCGGCAGTCCTCTACTCCTTTAACCTGTCACCCTGTATTGTAGGCCCATTGGCCTAATTCTCACTCATCACATTCTGATTATACAAAGGAGCTGTCTCCTTGTGCCTTCCTGCAGTCATTTGGAGTTATATACCATGTTTGGACTCCATTTTCTTTAGTCCCTCAGGCTGGGTGGAAAAAAGTGTGTAGTATTGATCAAACCTTCTTGCGTTCATGGTCTCTAACTCAGAGTTCTTCTTTCAGGTAGAAATATGGCTGAACAATGTGCTTTCTCACATGAGAGCCACAGTGAGGCATGAGATGACAGAAGGTGTGACCGCCTATGAGGAAAAGCCAAGGGAGCAGTGGCTGTTTGACTACCCAGCTCAGGTATTCTCCTATTGGGACTTTATGGACCCCCATCTTCCACTGGCTCTCTTCCTCAACCCCCTCTGTCAGCCTTCTGAGGCTTCTAACCATTAGACTTATCATGTACTTCACAATTAAAGGGGCTTGAATCCCAGATGGCTGTGAGGGGTCAGGAGAGGGAGCAGGGAGACTTACATCCAAGACTGAATTCAACTGTTACCTTGGAAAATGGGTTTTGGTAGGAAGAAACTATAAACAATTAAATTCTTTGAGCCAGATTACTTTACATGTGCCAAGCTCTGTACTGAGTGTAGGAGATCCTAAGGAAACAAGACATTGTTGCCTGGTTTGTTTAATCTCATGTAGAGTTCAATCACTTATAAATGTGACTTCTGTGATCATAGGGAGGCCTAGGTTCTCTATCTAGTGGAGTCTAGTACCATTAGCATCTCTCTGAGGCTATAATATTTAAGCCAATTTAAAGTAGGAGTTAGCAAGTTAAAAAAATGGAGTGAAAGATCAACCCTCGTAGGGGAGAAATATTGGCAAAGGCTCAGAAGCAAGAGAGCCATGATGTGTTTCAGGAAAGGACAGGAAAGGACCTGGCTGAAGCAAGGGTAAAAGGTGAGGGAGCAAGAAGAAGCAGATGGATTCTAGAAGGGAACCAGAAGCCAGTTCTAATGACCAGACTGAAAAAACTGACTTGATTCCAAGATTTATCTGAATTTACAGGTTTCTCAGGAGGGTCAGACTAAAGAGAGCAAACCTAACAGTGAATTTTTTAAATGACTCTGACTGCAATATACCACTCTTCTTTTCCCCTGGTAATAGGACAGACCTAATCCTGGTTTAGTTGGGGGTTGCTGTCAGCTGATAGTAATCAAAACCATAGAGTAGATTAGACTGCCCTTGAAAGGAGGAGGAATGAGGTGAGAATGTAGCACAAATCTTTGAATATCATTCAGAGCCTGAGTAGGTAAGGGAGAATCAATAAAGCAGAGTGAGAAAGAGTCTTCTTGGACAGAAGGAAAACCATGGAACAGTAACCGTGGAAATAAAAAGAGAGCTGTTGAAAGAAAGATAAAAAGTAATGTGAGAGATTCTGCTGAGAAAAAGAAAAGAGAAATAAGTCCACGTGGCACAGGAGAAGAGACATTTTCACAATACAGTTGACATATCCCATCAAGCCATCCCAACAAGGGGATGCAAGAGGAACTTCTTTAACAAAATCCAATAGGAAACAAACTCAAAGGTAAAAACAGTCAACCTAAGGGATGGTACTGTTTACTTCAGCACTTTTATTTCACAAAAGGAATCATTCCTGTAAGGATTCCTCATAACAGAATTCCCATATCATAATTCTGAGACAAAGCTAAAAGTGGTAGTACATGTCTGCAACCCCAGCACTCAGGAGGCTGAGGTTGAAAGATCATGGGTTCAAGGCCAGCTTGGGCTGCATAATGACAACTTGTCTAAAAAAAAAGAATTTTGAGACAAGAAATAAGTTGCCTCCTGCTATTGCAATAAATACCATCTAGAACAGTGTTTCCCCAACAAAATGCCAATATAGATGAGCCTTGTGTCTCAGTTCTCCATCACAAGCCCTCAAACTTAGGCATTTTCTTTTTTCTTTTTATTTATATTAATTTATTCACATGTGCATACATTCTTTGGGTCATTGCTCCCCCCTACCTCCCACCCCCTCTCCAAATTAGGCATTTTCTATATAAAATTTCTCAGCTAATAGAATAAATACTGATTTGAATCCCTTTTTCCATTTATTTTTAATCTCTGAAAAAAATATACTGAGTACACTAAATTTTGGTGTTATTCATCTTGGCCTTCAAAAGTAGCCATTTTAAATTTATGGGTTTTGAAAAATTAAAGTTGTCATGAAAGTATTATAGACAAGCAGATTTGGGCCACAGATGATCAGCAGTGACCCACTAAGTTAGAATACTTAGAATACGAGAGGATCCAGAGGAATACAACAAAGACTGGTGTTACTGAGATGCTCTTTCAACTTGCTATCCTCCCAAGCATGGGAAAGGTGCTGTCTCTGAGAAAAAAAACTGAACAATCTGTGTAACCATTTCTAGAAGACACTGACATTGACCAGAGTCAGACTTTGGTTCTTCTCAACCAAATGATACATCTTTCAGGAGCAGAAAATGCTGTCCAGTTGTGTTCTAATTACTTCATATCTCCAAAGATTTGGAGATTATGGTTCATATAGTCAGTGATAGTGGAAGAGGGAGGAAAGGGGCCTGTCATCCACACGATTACATCCTGACCCTTTGCTGTGTCATGAGTGGTCATTGGAAACAGCCTGGTAACAGTTTCACTAACAACTCTTGGTGCCACAGGTGGCCCTGACCTGCACTCAGATCTGGTGGACAACAGAGGTAGGCATTGCGTTTGCCAGGCTGGAGGAAGGCTATGAGAATGCCATGAAGGACTACTACAAGAAGCAAGTAGCTCAGCTCAAAATCCTCATCACCATGCTGATAGGTCAGCTCTCCAAGGGGGACCGGCAGAAGATCATGACCATATGCACCATCGATGTGCATGCCCGAGACGTGGTGGCCAAGATGATTGCTCAAAAGGTAGGTTCCATATACCTAGAGATGCTCCCTTTTGTGAGCAGGGAGTAGTTCATGTACAGCCAAAGCAGGGGCCCAGATTCTACACACTCACTTTGGGGGAAATTATGTAGATGGTTTCTGAATTATGATGGCTTAATTTATGTTTTGACTTTATGATAGTAGACAACCAATATGTATTCAGTAGGAACGGTACTTTCATTACAGTATTCAATGAATAACATGAGATATTCAACACTTTATTATAAGATAGGCTTTGTTTAAGTAATTTTGCCCCACTGCGGGATAATATAAGTGCTCTGAGCAGTTTAAGGTGAGGCTAAGTGATGGTATTCAGGAGGTTAAGTGTATTAAATATACTTTCAACTTATGATATTTTCAACTGACAGTGGGTTTATTGGACCATAACTCCTTTGTAGGTCAAGGACCATCTGTAGTTGGACCAGCTTCTGCTTTCTATACTGTGATCCAAGCATCCTATACTCTTGCATGACAGATAACACCCAAGCCACTCAGAGACTTATGTGACCTTCAGCTTGGGGAGGGGCACATGCTACCTGTTGAACACTGTGATTCACTGCTTTGCCACACTCTCTTTAGGTGGACAATGCACAAGCTTTCCTCTGGCTATCCCAGCTACGCCATCGTTGGGATGATGAAGCCAAACACTGCTTTGCCAACATATGTGATGCCCAGTTTCTATACTCCTATGAGTACTTGGGAAATACATCTCGCTTAGTGATCACACCTTTGACTGACAGGTGAGTGCTGTTGTCAGCTACTGACAGTCCTACTGCTGTTTGGTTCCAGCTATCCTGTGGCCATTGAGTGTCAAAATTACTGTCATTTGGTATTTGTTCATATAGCTCGATGGGGAGAACCTGACTCAACACAGCAGATGTAAAATAACACTGAAAGGATACAGAGTAGAGTTGGGCTCAGAGCAATGCCAGAACAAATGAATGAGTCATGAATTTCTGAGGAATTACTGGGCAGTTATACACACCTGGATTCTAACACCAGCTCTAACACATGCCAGCTGCTTCACTGTGAAAATTTTGACTTAATATTTTTTTTCCTCATTTGTAAAATGAAGGTAATAACTCATACATTATATGATTTTTGTAAGGATAACACAGGAATTCTTATGAAGACTTTAGTGTATAAGTGCTCAGTAATTGATTGCTATTATTTTCTTATCATCCAGTCGATCAATCAACTGTTACATTTATTTAGTACATCTCACTCTGAGGATACAAAGTACTAAGCAACATAGTCCCAAACATTAAGGAGGTTACAATTTTGGGGGTCAACATATTCTCTGTCATTCATATTAATGCATGCATGAGTTCATGTCAGATCCTGAAGTGGTCACTAGGAATTCTAAGATGACTAAGATATTTCTTGCCCTTAAACTCCAATTCTGGTGAGGGAAATAAAAATATATAGATAAAAAATTTAAATAGCACAAAAAAGAGAAGTACAAGCCATAGTATAAAATAGTGTTCAAAGCCATATGTGTAAATATCAAAACACCTGACACAAGAGTGAGCCCTGTTAGCACGGAGGGCCTATCTGCAGTGGGAAGAAAACAGAAAAAGTTTCAGGGAACAGAAGGCATCTGACTGGGACCCTGAAGGATGCATTGGATTCCAATGAGAGGTTGTAAGGTTGTTTCCAGGGTGCCCATGAAATTGTACAGAAATCCATTTACATATTTTTTTATTTAAAGGATCAACAGCATGTGCTAATTGTTAAGATAGATCCCCAAAAGTTAAAGGGCAACTAATAAACATTTCTGGAAAATGAAGTACTATGGGAAAAGTCTGGAAATCAGAGAACTCAAGGTGTGTTATTGGAAGAGAAATGTAGACTCTTGACTTTAGGGGAGGCAGTCAGCAATCAAAGACTCAGACAATAGCAATAATCTATCAAAAATTTTTCATAGGGGAACAAAACAATGAAGACTGTATTTTATGAAGATTTATCTACATGCAGATTAGGGCAAGGGAGAGGCAGGGTAACAATGTAATAAGAAATAATATTTTTAATTCTGCTGAAATTTTTGTAAACTCAGCTAGGAGTTTGTACCTGTCCTCATAATAGCATTGAACACTAACTCTTTTTTTCTCTAGAAAGAGGGGTGCGCCTGAATATCAAAATGAGGACCTTGTAAATAATGAAGACATTGTCATAAATTGTAAAGGTCAAAATGGTCTGTGTCTCTTAATTTTCTCTATTTTAAGTGATATCACATGTCTTGTAGTCAAGTTCTCAAATACATTTCAAAATATCTGATAAATATTTCCAAATTCCTTAAATTGTAATCACTGTTCAAGGAATAAATAGAACATGGGAAATCCAAAGTCCCAACATCCTCTGTAGATAAAGACCTTCTGGTTCACATTCCTCCATGTTTTTTGTGTAATTCATTTTCCTACCCAGTTTGAAGTCTCATCCACCCAGAGTCCCAAGTTATTTCCCTTTTTTCTTGCATCTCTTTTCTTTTTTTGCTTTTATTTTATTCATATGTGCATACAATGTTTGGGTCATTTCTCCTCCCTTCCCCCTGCCCCCTCCCTTACCTCCCCACTTCCTCCTCCCTCTCCCCTCCCCCCACCCCCTCACTAGCAGGCAGAAACTATTTTGCCCTTATCTCTAATTTTGTTGAAGAGAGAGTATAAGCAGTAATAGGAAGGACAAAGGGTTTTTGCTAGTTGAGATAAGGATAGCTATACAGGGAGTTGACTTACATTGCTTTCCTGTGCATGTGTGTTACCTTCTAAATTATTTCTTCTCAAACTAACCTTTTCTCTAGTTCCTGGTTCCCTTCTCCTAATGGCCTCTGTCTTAAAGTATCTGTTTTAGTTTCTCTTCATTGAGGGCAACAAATGCTATCTAGTTTTTTGGGTGTCTTACCTCCCTTGTGTGCTCTCACTTTATCATGTGATCAAAGTCCAATCCCCTTGTTGTGTTTGCCCTTGATCTAATGTCTACATATGAGGGAGAACATGATTTTTGGTCTTTTAGGCCAGGCTAACCTCACTCAGAATGATGTTCTCCAGTTCCATCCATTTACTTGCGAATGATAACATTTCGTTCTTCTTCATGGCTGCATAAAATTCCATTGTGTGTAAATACCACATTTTCTTAATCCATTTGTCAGTAGTGGGGCATCTTGGCTGTTTCCATAACTTGGCTATTGTGAATAGTGCTGCAATAAACAAGGGTGTGCAAGTGCCTCTGGAGTAACCTGTGTCACATTCTTTTGGGTATATCCCCAAGAGTGGTATTGCTGGATCATATGGTAGATCAATGTTTAGATCTTTAAGAAGCCTCCAGATATTTTTCCAGAGTGGTTGTACTAGTTCCTTTTGTCCCACATCCTCATCAACACCTGTTGTTACTGGTGTTGCTACTGATGGCTATTCTAACAGGGGTGAGGTGGAATCTTAGTGTGGTTTTAATTTGCATTTCCTTTATTGCTAGAGATGGTGAGCATATTTTCGTGTGTTTTTTGGCCATTTGAATTTCTTCTTTTGAGTAAGTTCTGTTTAGTTCCTTGCCCATATCTTTATTGGTTCATTAATTTAGGGAGAATTTAGTTTTTTAAGTTCCCTATATATTCTGGTTATCAGTCCTTTGTCTGATGTATAGCTGGCAAATATTTTCTCCCACTCTGTGGGTGTTCTCTTCAGTTTAGAGACCATTTCTTTTGATGAACAGAAACTTTTTAGTTTTATGAGGTCCCATTTATCTAAGCTATCTCTTAGTTGCTGAGCTGCTGGGGTTCCATTGAGAAAGTTCTTGCCTATAACTATTAATTCCAGAGTATTTCCAACTCTTTCCTGTATCAACTTTAGAGTTTGGGTCTGATATTAAGATCCTTGATCCATTTTGAGTTAATCTTGGTATAGGGTGATATACATGGATCTAGTTTCAGTTTTTTGCAGACTGCTAACCAGTTTTCCCAGCAGTTTTTGTTGAAGAGGCTGCTATTTCTCCATCGTATATTTTTAGCTCCTTTGTCAAAGACAAGTTGGTTATAGTTGTGTGGCTTCATATCTGGGTCCTCTATTCTGTTCCACTGGTCTTCATGTCTGTTTTTGTGCCAGTACCATGCTGTTTTTATTGTTATTGCTTTGTAATATAGTTTGAAGTCAGGTATTGTGATACCTCCAGCATTGTTCTTTTGACTGAGTATTGCCTTGGCTATTCGTGGCCTCTTGTGTTTCCATATAAATTTAACAGATTTTTCAATCTCTTTAATGAATGTCATTGGAATTTTGATGGGAATTGCATTAAACATGTAGATTACTTTTGGGAGTATAGACATTTTTACTATGTTGATTCTACCAATCCATGAGCATGGGAGATCTCTCCACTTTCTATAGTCTTCCTCAATCTCTTTCTTCAGAAGTTTATAGTTTTCCTTGTAGAGGTCTTTCACATCTTTTGTTAGGTTTACACCTAGGTATTTGATTTTTTTGAGGCTATTGTAAATGGAATTGTTTTCATATATTCTTTTTCAGTTTGTTCATTATTAGTGTATAGAAATGCTAATGATTTTTCTATGTTGATTTTATATCCTGCTACCTTGCTGTAGCTATTGATGGTCTAGAGCTTTGAGTAGAGTTTTTTGGGTCTTTAAGGTATAGGATCATATCATCTGCAAATAGGGATATTTTGACAGTTTCTTTACCTATTTGTATTCCTTTTATTCCTTCTTCTTGCCTAATTGCTCTGGCTAGGAATTCCAGTACTATGTTGAATAGGAGTGGAGATAGTGGGCATCCTTGTCTGTTCCTGATTTTAGAGGGAATGGTTTCAGTTTTTCTCCGTTAAGTATAATGCTGGCTGTAGGTTTGTCATATATAGCTTTTATAATGTTGAGGTACTTTCCTTCTATTCCTAGTTTTCTTAGAGCTTTTATCATGAAATGGTGTTGGATCTTATCAAAGGCTTTTTCTGCATCTATTGAGATGATCAAGTGGTTTTTGTCTTTGCTTCTGTTAATGTGGTTTATTACGTTTATTGATTTTCGTATGTTGAACCACCCTGCATCCTGGGATGAAGCCTACTTGGTCTGGTGAATAATCTTTTTGATGTGTTGTGAATTCGGTTTGCCATTATTTTGTTGAGGATTTTTGCATCAATGTTCATTAAGGAGATTGGCCTATAGTTCTCCTTTTTGGAGGTGTCTTTGCCTGGTTTTGGGATAAGTGTAATACTGGCTTCATAAAATGTGTTTGGCAGTTTTCCTTCCTTTCTATTTCATGGAACAGTTTAAGGAGGGTTGGTATCAGTTCTTCTTTAAAGGTCTGATAGAATTCAGCAGAGAATCCATCAGGTCCTGGACTTTTCTTTTTGGGAGACTCTTGATTGCTGCTTCAATTTCATTTTGTGTTATAGATCTATTCAGGTGATTAATTCCTCTTGGTTCAGTTTTGGATGATCATAGTATCTAGAAATCTGTCCATTTCTTTAAGATTTTCAAATTTATTTGAATATAGGTTCTCAAAGTAGTCTCTGATGATTTCCTGGACTTCCATGGTGTTTGTTGTTATCTCCCCTTTTGCATTCCTGATTCTACTAATTTGGGTTTTTCTCTCCTCATTTTAGTCAGGTTTGCCAGGGGTCTATCAATCTTGTTTATTTTTCAAAGAAGCAACTTTTTGTTTCATTAATTCTTTGTATGGTTTTTTTGGTTTCTATTTTGTTGATTTCAGCTCTTATTTTTATTATTTCTCTCCTTCTATTT